AATTTAAAAATTTCCATCACTTTTTTTTGTAGTTGAAACAGTTACTTTTGGCGATTTCTTGTGCTCAATCGATAGAATAAAGTAATACAGTGAAAAACTAAAAAATTTGGTTTACTGGAAAAATTAATTGGGCCTAAAAATCAAATGGCAAAAAGCCATTTTGTAATATCGCTGAAAAACATCAAAAAACCGAGAGCAAAATTTCGTCAATTTTCCACCAAATTTCGTACTTTTTTCTTTATTAACCTTTACAAAAAGCCCCTAACGATTTCATAAGAAAAAAAACAAATTTTTTTTTTTTTTAAAATTCTTGACACTGGTGCGGATCCAATTTTGGGGTGGGCCCTAAAGGGTAACCCCCACCCAAACAGGGCCTTTGAGCTTTCCCATCCTATTCCCTTCACATATCCAAAAACACACAGGCCCGACTGACCCCTTGGAAACCCCCTTTTCACACCCCAACCTGACCCTCTCCCCGTCCTACCCTGGGTTTCAAAGGGCCTTCTTGCAGTCCAAAAAAAGCAGTCATCCCCCCTCTCCTCTTGTCTTACTTCTGTCCCCTTGTCAAAAAACTTAGTGGGTTTGTGACACAGGTTTTTCCCTCCCTGAAACCATGCTGGTTTGTCTTTTTAACACTTGTTTTTTTTCCGGTGCTCCACCACTCTCCTCCTGAATCTTCTCCATACCTTGCATACTATACAGTTGTGATACGGTCGTAGTTTTAGTGCCTCATGGTCTCCCTTTTTAAAATTGGGACTACATTTGCCATCTTCCTACCCGGGGAGTTGCCCCGTTTCAAATGAGTGTTTTAAAATCTTTGTTAACCCTTTTTTGGTCCAAGGCCAAATTCTGAAGTGGTGCCCCGTGTCCAAGAAATTTTGAAAAAAAAAAAAATTTTTTTCCCCACAGAATTTAAAAAGCATATTTTTTTGAAGGGAAAAAAGACAAAAAAAAAAACTGTCATACTTTCCCAATTCAGTGCCAAGAAGTTTTCAAAAAAAGATGTGGTGGCGGCAACATTGAGAATTCCACTCGCCATTACTTATTTTGTGGTTTTAGTTGTTTTTTTTTCCTTTTTTTTTCCCAAATTTTTTTTTTTCCTACTAACATTTGGGGCCTGAGAGACCCAAAACTGTATATAATTAATATATAAACCACGTATTGAACACAATAACCGCACTAAAGTTATTATCAATTTTTTTACACTGTTTTTTATTACAATAAAAAATGCACAAATATTGTATAATACTAATTTCTATCATATATTTACATATTTACAATCACGGACAGGGGTTTTTTCTCACAACTCCCGAAAAAAAGGGCCCCCAAAAAAACCTTCTCCTCAACCATAAAACCGACCTCTTTTTTCCCGGTTTTTTACAACAACCCTCCTACAAATTTTTTTTATTTTAAAATTTTAAAAATTAACCCCCTCCCCCCGGGTATTTCCGGAAAAATTCCCCTAGGACCATTTGATAGCAGGTTTGTTACCCCAAACTTCTTATATTTCTGAAAACAGAAAAACAAAACCAACCAAATTTTTTGCCAGTTTTTTATTTACATATTATACATTGACATTAAAATTCCATGGAAAAAATTTCAACCATTGTAACCCGAACAAGCCAAAACCAATCCAAATTTTCCCCAAAGGAGTTTTTTTAAACCAATCACTGCACTTTTTCGAATACCTTAGTCAACCGACACTTTGCCACTGTCTTGCATTTCATTAACGGTGAATGGTTTTTTGCCCAACAATGTGCCCACCTTTTTTGTCAGCCCCGTAATGCCAGATGCCCTTTGGGGAGAAAACCCCCGCACTCATCCCCACGACACCGCTTTGACCCGGGCATATGTTTACGATTAGAACGCACGTGCCAACACATCTGTCTTTTTTCATCGCAGAAATCCGATAAGGGGCTTGTGTCCCATTATCATAAAAAATGTATCCCCTTCCCAAAGAAAAAGTGCCATATTTTTCTCACTATTCACCTGAGATACCCAAAACATCTTGGATCTTCAATGTTTTACTACCCTGTATACAACAATACCAACACCAGGCCACGTCACAATCACAGAGTACAAACGTTTTTAACCAAACGTTTCCTCTTGTTTGGGTATTCTGCTTGAATGACAGCACCTTTGAAAAAATCAAAGACTCTCAATTACAAATTCTTGAAGGGATAAAAGTATAGCTGAATTTTTTTGTTTGAGATACATGAAAACATTTCAAAATGCTGAACTTTTGTTTAGATACAGAAAACTTTTAAAAACTTTTTATAACCTGTCCTTCTGTCGGGCCTGGTTTTGTCAAAAAGTCAACATACGAAAGGGTAAGATAAACCTGTTCACGGGTATATTTCCTAAAGACCGGGGAAAATTAGCCGATCTAACCAGTATCTTTTAAAATTATGTTTATAACGTGAGGCATAAGCATTATTGTTGCAAAAAGCAAATACATTTCTGCAACAGTCGCCCTTTTTCCATCTGGTATTCTTGACTGGGGATAAGATCGTTTTTGCATGGTGTACTCAAAATATTATTACTTTCCCTGACAAAAATTTTTCCCATAAAGGGCTGGTCAAAAAAAATAATTCAAAAAAACCATTTCCTTGGCCGGGGTCCAAGGGAAAAGTAGGTAGAATTCCACTTTGAGAATCATCAAAGTGGTGAGGTTTGGGAAAAAAAATTGGGATTTTGCTGCCAATCCCACATACGGTTTGCTGGTGGATACTGGCATAAATAGGCTGGTTGTGCGGGGGGGTTGTGGTTGTGGTGGGCTGGGGGCTGGCGCTACGCTTTGTCCTTAAAACTGACGAGTCAGCAGCGTGGGCCCCCAGCGGGGCCCCTCGTGAGTCACGCATGGTGGTGCCCACTACCATCACCACTAACACCACCACTGATCCCCTGTGGTCAAATCCATGCCAAGTGTAGCCACATCATCCTCACTATCACTACCTAAAACGGTGTTGGCCACGGGATGTACTCCGTCCCCTGGGCACAGCATAGGGTACACTACCCGAGCGCATGCGGCGGCGAACATACCGACGCTTCACTGGTGAATATGATTCCTCACATCACTACTCGATTGATCGTCGAGCGCAATAAAATCACAGCCCCACGTCACTATCATCATCATTACTAAATTTCAGAGGCCGTGGCCACGCGAAAATATTAGTTTTTCTCTTGCATGAGGAACAACCGACCGTGAGTCACGAGTGCCCACACCAAGGTAAAAAGGTTGAGGATCGTCAGGTTTTCTGCACTATTATCAAATATCCTGGTCATTCATTTTCGTCACTAACTGATCAAAGCCGTAAATACTCTTCATTTCCCCACTTCATCAGTGTCAGAACTATCAATAGGAAGAGGAGAGTCCCATTTTCCCGGGGAGTGAGAGCTGACTTGCGACGAGGCTGGTGAACAAGGGTAAGAGCGGCTTCCCACAATGCTTGCGGGGCCTAGATTTTTTGTTTATGGCGCACACCCACCACGCAGACCCTTTCTCTCACATTAGGCTATGAGCGTTTTTCGCGCTAATTTTAACGGCGCTAGAATTTTGGCGTTGATCACGGTTTTGGACACTCAACGTAAAGCCGTTGATCAACGGAATGGACCCTGAAAGGGTTAATGGTACACACAATATCTCTGCTCCCTCTTTAAGGACCCACGGAGAGATGTTGTCTCGTCCCACCGCCTTTGAGGTGTCAATTCGCATAGAAAGCTTCTTCACCTCCTCCTTGGTTATATGTACCTCATCCAGCACTTGCTGGGGCACCCCCTGCTCTGATTTCCTGGGGTCCTACTGGTTTCCCTGTAAATACTTCTTTAAATCTCGTGTTGAGCTCCTGACATACCTCCCAGTCGTTTCTTGTGAATTCCCCATCACCCTCCTCAGTCTGAATACCTGGTCCTTGACTGTTTTTTTCCTCCTGATTTTGGGGTGTATAACAGCTTCGGGTCAGTCCCTTTACTTTCGATGCTATGTCATTTTTGTATTGCTGCTGAGCTCCCTTCTTATCTGTGCATATTCGTTTCTGGGTCTTTGGCTAATCTCTTTATTTTCCTGAGTTCTCTGTCTTCTGTACCCTTTTCCATTCTCTAGTACACCTAGTTTTTTTCCCCCTACACCTTTGGGTGAACCAAGGACTCGTTCTGTTCTTCCCATTATTTTTGTTTCCCTTTGGGAACAAACCCTTTCCCCTGCCTCCTTGCATTTTGTTGCGACATAGTCCATCATTTCTTGTACTGGTTTTCCTGTCGGTTCCCTCTCCCACTGAATGTCTTGAAAGAAGTTCCTCAAGCCTGAGTAGTTTCCCCTTTTGTAGTTTGGTTTTTCCCACCCTATTCCTGCTGCTCTCTCCACTTGGAGCTCAACTATGTAGTTTGAAGCACAGAACCACATGATCACTAGCTCCCAGGGGGCCTTTTCATACATGATATCCTCGATGTCAGAACTACTCAAGGTGAATACAAGGTCCAGTCTTGCTGGTTCATCCTCTCCTCATGTTAGTACTGTGTACTCGTTTTACTGGAGTTATGTCCATACATCAAGAGCCATGCTAACATTATTGAACATACAGTACCCATGTTTGGGAGGAGCCTTAACCCTTCTACTTTAAATATTTTTTTTTTTTATTTGGACATGATACATAGCAGTACAAAGAAATATAGTGATTGAGTGTACATGCCAAAAGCCCCTTGTATGCAGAGCATTATAGGCAGGCTTAAAATTAACTTAAGATTAACTAAGCAATGATAGATTCAGTGGTAAAAATTACAGTAAACAAATTACAACATGAAGTACAAATGAATATTTCAAATAAGAAGCATTAAAGTTGTACAAATTTGTAGCATAACAGTACATTACAACTGTCATGTAACATGAAACTGGATGACCTCAGAGTAGTCATTTAACAAATAGTATGCTAGGCAAACATATATTATGAGGTATATCACAGGATTCTATTCAAAGAAAACCAGACATGGCAGGCATAACTCACATGACAAGGAGCATGCTGGGCATCAGTAAAGCCAACACAGGTGTGAGCGTGGTTTAGGCGGCCTGGATAGTGGGTAGTGTTGCAGGCATCAAGACCAAGAAGTGGTACCGGCAAGTAGTGGAGGAACTGGCTTTCACTCTCTGCTCCTGAGGGTGAATATAAGTTTATCATTGGGAAGAAATAAGGTATTAATTTAAAATAAAAAAAAATTTAAGATTCAAAAAGACAAATTCATTAAGGTATAATACAGTGCAGATTTATTTTACTGGAAAACAAGAAAAACTCGCCTGACTTTGTAAGAATGGAAAAAGACAGAGGATATTAATGGGCAGAAATAGATGGTTAGTTTCAGAGCAAAAATTGGATTAAGTAACTTGGCTTAAAAGAATCTTAAATAGAGGAAGAAGGTACTGTACATGTGGTGATACAAAAGGATTCCAAAGTTGGTTTTCAGTTTGAAGATCACAGTGCTTATACTGTAAATAAGAAGTTACATATGTTTTCATTTCACATTCAAAAGCAAGTATATCTGCTAACTGGCACCTGTCAATCTCCATAGCTGCCAGACTAGAGATATTCAACTGTAATTTACATGTGCAGTAGGGTACCACTTATATGGCAGGTTAGGTTCCAGGCTACCGCCGGAAAGCAGAATACCATTTTTTCCACTTATAAATGCATATAAATGCCAGATAACAAGTTTACACTAACATATATTAAGTTAGCAACAGAACTAGGCATTAAAAACAAAAAGTAAAATACAGTGGACCCCCGCATAACGGACGCCTTGCATAGCGGACAATCCGCATAGCGGACGCTTTGTTCGCTAAAATTTTGCCCCGCATAGTGGACAAAAACCCGCTCAGCGGCCTTCGTCCGAGACGCGTCCAATGTGCGGCCTGAGCCACGCTCACATGTTCCGCGGGTGGCATTGTTTACCAGCCAGCCTCCGCGGTAACATCCAAGCATACAATCGGAACATTTTGTATTATTACAGTGTTTTTGGTGATTTTTTTCTGGAAAATAAGTGACCATGGGCCCCAAGAAAGCTTCTAGTGCCAACCCTACAGCAATAAGGGTGAGAATTACTATGGAGATGAAGAAAAAGATCATTGATAAGTATGAAAGTGGAGTGCGTGTCTCCGAGCTGGCCAGGTTGTATAATAAACCCCAATCAACCATTGCTACTATTGGTGGTACAGCTGCTGCTGCTGCTGTACCACCGTCAGCTGCTGCTGCACTGTCAGCTGCTGCTGCTGTACCACCGTCAGCTGCTGCTGCTGCTGTAGTACCGTCTGCTGCTGCTGTAGCATCGTCTGCTGCTGCTGTAGCATCGTCTGCTGCTGCTGTAGCATCGTCTGCTGCTGCTGTAGCATGTCTGCTGCTGCTGTGCTGTAGCATCGTCTGCTGCTGCTGTAACATCGTCAGTTGCTGCTGTAGCATCGTCTGCTGCTGCTGTAGCATCGTCTGTTGCTGCTGTAGCATCGTCTGTTGCTGCTGTACCACCGTCAGCTGCTGCTGCTGCTGTACCACCGTTGTTGGTGTGGCTTATTGAGAATACCAAGAAACAATTAACCCCAGAGGGTTAGCTACCCAGGATAACCCAAGAAAGTCAGTGTCATCGAAGACTGTCTAACTTATTTCCATTGGAGTCCTTAATCTTGTCTCCCAGGATGCAACCCACACCAGTTGACTAACACCCAGGTGAACAGGGAAAATGCCTGGAACTAGTGCTCATATTGGTGAATTTAGAGCCAGCAAAGGTTGGTTTGAGAGATTTAAGAATCGTAGTGGCATACACAGTGTGATAAGGCCTGTTCTGGAAGAAAATACCAAACAGGACCTACAGTACTCAGGAGGAAAAGGCACTCCCAGGACACAGTGTCTCATCAGTCATTGCTGCATCTTCAATAAAGGTAAGTGTCATTTATTCTTCATTTAGTAGAGTAGTACATGCACAATATATATTGAGCATGTACTACTCTATTATTGTGCATGTATCCTTCTCTTTGTGTGTAGGAAAATGTATATTTCATGTGGTAAAAATTTTTTTTTCATACTTTTGGGTGTCTTGCACGGATTAATTTGATTTCCATTATTTCTTATGGGGAAAATTCATTCGCATAGCGAACATTTCGCATAACAGCCAGCCCTCTTGCACGGATTAAGGTCGCTATGCGGGGGTCCACTGTATACACACAGTACACCCATTCCTTACCTTAAAATAGTTGTAGTCTTAATGTAGGGTGAGAAGCGAGTCATATTTATTTGTAGGAAGTCAGGTGTTTGAGGTATGGTAGCCAGCCAGGTCAGCTTCCCCCCACCCACATGTACTATACGTACTATGACATTTAAAGCACCCGAGAGCAATAAAATACTTATACAGTACATTCATTAATTACCTTAAAATATTTGTAGTCTTAGTGTAGGGTGAGAAGTGAGTCATATTTGTAGGAAGTCAGGTGTGGGAAGTATGGTAGCCAGCCAGGGCAGCTTACCCCACCCACATGTAATATACTAAGACATTTAAAGCACCCAAGAGTGATAAAATACATATACAGTACATTCATTAATTATCTTTAAAATATATGTAGTCTTAATGTAGGGTGAGAGGTGAGTAAATGAGATAAAATGAATAAACAAGAGAGAGAGAATGAGCACACGAGAGAGGACAGAGAGGTGGAGTATGTAAACAAAGAGATGAACGTGTCTGGTTTTGGTTCATACACATTTGTTTTATACCATAATACAAACACACCCTGCCTCGGTGGGAGACGGCCGACTTGTTGAAAAAAACAAAAAAAAAAACACTTTATATTGTATACAAATTGTCTCCACATTGATAGAGTAGAACAAATAAAGAGGAACACTCCCATTCTCATGTAATATGATTTTTAGAAGAAATGACACTCTGAGTGAAGGCATACGAAAGGAATAATTTTCTAGTTGCTCCCAGTAATGTGATATTCGCCTAGAGAAAACGTTATTCTTGCCATCACTCCAAGTGGGGTCTATTTATCTAGTTTATATGTTACGTAGTGTGTTTCTTATATAATTTAAAAAAATACCATAGATGGAGTAATGGAAATGTCTATATTAACGTAATAAATGACATTTAATGCATCCAAGAGTTTATTATTATGGTGTCTTCAAGAGTAGAGAGAGATTTAGTGATTTTAATGTGTACCTGCACACCAGCACAGTGTGTAAGTATAATTAGGTACAGGTACACATAAGTATAATTATCAGAGCACATATAAAATATGCAATAACTTTAAAACACTTGAAATTTTGGAAAGTTTGGAGACAGAGATATGTGCTCATGGAGAATGTAAACAAACCAGGTAGGGTGCGCCACATTAGAAAGACGGGGAGCCATATACAGTGGACCCCCGCATAGCGACTTTAATCCGTGCAAGAGGGCTCATTGTTATGCGAAATGATTGGTATGCGAATGAATTTTCCCCATAAGAAATAATGGAAATCAAATTAATCCATGCAAGATACCCAAAAGTATGAAAAAAAAAAATTTTACCACATGAAATATACATTTTCCTACACACAAAGAGAAGGATACATGCACAATAGTAGAGTAGTACATGCACAATATATATTGTGCATGTACTACTCTACTAAATGAAGAATAAATGACACTTACCTTTATTGAAGATGCAGCAATGACTGATGAGACACTGTGTCCTGGGAGTGCCTTTTCCTCCTGAGTACTGTAGGTCCTGTTTGGCATTTTCTTCCAGAACAGGCCTTATCACACTGTGTATGCCACTACAATTCTTAAATCTCTCAAACCAACCTTTGCTGGCTTTAAATTCACCAATATAAGCACTAGTTCCAGGCATTTTTCCCTGTTCACCTGGGTGTTAGTCGACTGGTGTGGGTTGCATCCTGGGAGACAAGATTAAGGACCCCAATGGAAATAAGTTAGACAGTCTTCGATGACACTGACTTTTTTGGGTTATCCTGGGTGGCAAATCCTCTGGGGTTAATTGTTTCTTGGTATTCTCAATAAGCCACACCAACAACGGTGCTACAGCAGCAGCAGCAGCAGCTGAGTGCTACAGCAGCAGCAGCAGCTGACAGTGCTACAGCAGCAGCAGCAGCTGACAGTGCTACAGCAGCAGCAGCAGCTGACAGTGCTACAGCAGCAGCAGCAGCTGACAGTGCTACAGCAGCAGCAGATGGTACTACAGCAGCAGCTGATGGTGGTACAGCAGCAGCAGACGATGCTACAGCAGCAGCAGACGGTACTACAGCAGCAGCAGGCGGTACTACAGCAGCAGCAGCAGCAGCAGCTGACGGTGGTACAACAGCAGCAGCAGCTGACGGTGCTACAGCAGCAGCAGCAGCTGACGGTGCTACAGCAGCAGCAGCAGCAGCTGATGGTGGTACAGCAGCAGCAGCATCTGTACCACCAATAGTAGCGATGGTTGATTGGGGTTTATTATACAACCTGGCCAGCTCGGAGACGCGCACTCCACTTTCATACTTATCAATGATCTTTTTCTTCATCTCTATAGTAATTCTCACCCTTATTGCTGTAGGGTTGGCACTAGAAGCTTTCTTGGGGCCCATGGTCACTTACTTTGCAGATAAAATCACCAAAAACACTGTAATAATACGAAATGTTCCGATTGTATGCTTGGATGTTACCGCGGAGGCTGGCTGGTAAACAATGCCACCGGCGGCACATGTGAGGCTGGCTAAGGGCGCACATTGGACGCGTCTCGGACGAAGAGCGGTGAGCGGGTTTTTGAGCGGTATGCGAGGCAAAATTTTTGCGATAAAAGCGAGCGGTATGCGGATTGAACGTTATGTGATGCCGACGGTATGCGGGGGTCCACTGTAGCGAGTTTTGGTCATAATTTGAAATGTCCGTATTAGCGGAACGCTGTAAGGCAAAACGCCATAAAGCAGGGTCCTACTGTATAAGGTGAATACCTGGCACTTCCATAATAAAATTATTTTGAGTAGGATTCCACAAATACATGATGTAATGATATTGTAGGGGTGGCGTGTGACAGGTCACTTGCATCAGTAATGTCTTGTGACTGTAGTAGGTTCCAATGAAGAGAGGGCCAACTGCTCTATCATTTTTACATACATGTATATTGTTCTCAAGACCATTAAGCTGCCTTTCACCACAAGCTTACTGAGCGGCCCTTTGCCACAAGACCACTGAGCAGCCCTTTGCCACAAGACCACTGAGTGTCCCTTTGCCACAAGACCAAGTGACTGTATGAAACAGTAACATGAACACTTTTTATATCTGTACATCACTATAAATTGAAATATAATATAATGAACAAGATTTCTGAGACAGTCTCAATAGCTTATCATCTTCAAGTCGATGAATATAACTTGCCAACATGGGTAAAAACAAAAGTTTGGCTTATAGCCAGAAATATACTATAAGGGAAGAGGCAAAGAGTGCTGGTAACTTTATTAAAGAAATCAGGAAGCAGTAAAGCTAGAATATTGTGTATTTGGTACAGTATTTGGTACACATGAAAACCCAACTGTTACATATATATACACACCCAAGATTAGATTCATACACATTACACTGTAAGACAATGCAACATTTTGGTTACCAATATATGCTGGTACACTAAATAGTAAATTCAGATTCACATTAAATAAAAAAACATGATGTTTTATCTAAAGTGATAAAATGATATTTTCAGTTAATAAATGTTTGATAACAGTGAAGTATATTGCATGCTATTCCCAAAGGCAAATTTAAATATTTCTCAACTCAAGTATAATAATGAAAGTTGAAAAATTATATTGATTTTTTTACCTCAGTGCCTGTCTCCTGCCAAAGCAGGGTGATGCACATAAAAGTAATAAAGGAACAAACTAGTAACTCATTTACTGCTTTTGATTTACCATATTCTGAGCGGGTCCAACCAGCAACAACACAGAGAGCATTGCTTGCTGGTGGACCATTAGGAACACACACAGGCTGTGTATTGTGTCCTAAAACAAGTGGAGTATCCAAGCGCAAAAGCACAGCATCCCCGGTCCAGAGTCCACCAGTCCTTACTGTAGCAGGGAATGGAACCATCTTTGCAACATAATGAAACTGAGCAGTGACAGTTGGAGATGCCACCCCAGAAACAACTGCCCATGTGCCTGGATCCATCCCATTTTCTCTGATTGGAGGAGGAATAAGGAACAGTTATTTATAAAACTATCAAACCTGAAATGTCTCTTCTAACCTTCATGTGTTATCACTTATCATCGCAACATTCATTAGAAATCAAAACTATCCTGTAACATGCTTAGGCTAGTGAGGTACACCAGATACCAACAATTTCAGGCCAGTATCTAACTCATTATTTTCAAGGAAAATTTAAAAAATTATACTGTATATAAATGAATGTACTCATTCATACTTACCAGTTTGGCTTCAGGCCAAGAAAAATATTATGAAATAATTGAATGTTCGATTCAATCTATTCACTCGAGAATAACTAAAGAAGAGTTTTTGATACAAAACCACAATATCCTGCTTTTTAACTCAGAACTTTACAGAATCAGAGGCCATGCTCTCACATACATCAAGTCCTACCTTAATAACAGACACCAACATGTGACATTAATAATACTACCTTATTATACTGACCTATGAACAGGGGTGCCTCAGGGCAGCATCCTTGGCCCTCTACTACTTTTCTTTCATAATGCCTCTCAGAAACTTATACAAGTTCTGTTTGCAGATGACAACTTTTGTATCATTTTTCTTGAAAAAATATTACCACCATTATTATTATTTATTATCATTACTTGTAAAATCTCCCCCTCCTTCCTGCATGAGAGTGCTTTGATTCAAGAAACTGAAGCTACCCTAACTTTCCTTGGATCAAATCTGATTACGTCTTATTCCCCCAGTGCTATGAGACCCCTACATATTCAACATTTCTCCAAGAGTATACCTATAAAATTTATGCAAATCACTATATTTTAACCCTTTCCTTCACCACTTAACTTCTTCCTTGTCTATTTAATATTTTATCACGCACTATCATTACTATAGGTACAACATACTTGTCTTTGTACTTTATATGCTAAGTTTTTATTATGGTTCTAATAAGTTTTAAAATTTTCATTCGTGTTACTGGGGTCTTAAACCTCGTATCCAAAGCTAATGTATATTAGAAATCTGAATATCTTTCTTAACCCTTAAACTGTCCAAACAGATCTACGTTCACATGCGTAGTGCTCCAAAAGTAGATCTACTTTTTTTACATATTTTCAAATATAACAAAAAAAAAAGTAGATCAAAGTTTTTTTACACGCTTTCAAATGTAAAACAAAAAAAAAATCTACTGTTTTTACATTCAAATGTTGAAAAAATGTAGATCTACGTTTGGACAGTTTAAGGGTTAATAGTTGTTATTGATTTTGTTCTATCAGATCTTCTATAAAGATGCAAAATAAGGTGTATGCTGAACAATAAAATCTTATGGTACTTTTCATTGTAATACTTCATTTTACATAATGTAGTATGCAGCAAATCTTAAGTAATTTAGAAATAAAAAGACTATCTGTAAACATTTATATGAAGGCACATTACAGTATGTTTAAACAAAATAAACCATCATACTTGGCAGAGAGACACGAGTAGGCAGCCAGAACCCAGCTAGGGGCAACAATGGAGGCAGTACAGGATTGAGTGTGAGCTTGTGTATTGTTGTCTGGATGAGTCCTAAGCAGGAGTGCCAGAGAGGGCCACAGTCCTTCTACAACAGCTGGCCTTGCTCCTACTGATAAATTCTGCTCCTCCAAGACATCATCCCCTAGGCTCCATGAACCACATGCTGCAGAAAAAACAGGTGGTGAGACAGAAAGCAAGATATAAAAAGAGGCAATGTTGAAAGGAGCCAAGGTGATACACAGGAAGAAGAAACAGAAGTGATGCAAAGGACATATAGTTGATTAAGCTGATATTGTATAGCAGTGTAGCTTTTATATTTATTCGCTGTATAGCTCTTGTGGCTTAGCGCTTCTTTTTGATTATAATAATAATTATATTTATTCATACCCTTGATGACATGTGCCTAAAAGGTGATTTAGCAGGTCAATGCAGATTCACATTCATTTAAAACAAAACAAATAATAAACTATCAATAGTGTATGTTTTAGCAACAGTTATATACATAGTCACATCTATGCATACAACAGAAATATGTACATACACAATGGTCACACCTATTCATACCACAGAAATATGTATAGTATGCAATAATGGCACACAGTTACTCAAGTGGTAGTTGCACAAAATAAGAGAACTATTACAAAAGCTCTTGGTGCACACACCAGTGAATATTCATCATTGAATATCATTATTATTATAATCAAAAAGAAGCGCTAAGCCACAAGGGCTATACAGCGCTGCAGGGTAGGGAAGGAAGCGAGGGTATCGGGCAGCAGAAGGGGGGAGGGGCGATTAGTAGGTTACAGAAAACAGCGGGGCAGGAGATAGTGCGGGGGTAGAGGGCAGCAAGAGATTGAGGTAGAAAAGGCTGCAGGTATCATCAGAGTTTGTAAAGTAAGTCAGTTGTTGTCAAAAAGTCATTGAGAGAGTCCAGATGAAAGGTGGGTCCATCAGCGAGAAGGGAAGGTAAAGAGAGAGCAGCGGAGCGAAGACGACGATGGAGGTAAATTCTGTGTGCTCATTAATAAAGTGGGCAGTCCAACAGAATGTGGCTGACTGATAATGGAGCTTGGCAATTCTCACAGAGAGGAGCAGGGCACCTCTCCATGAGATATCCATGAGTAAGACGAGTATGGCCAATGCGAAGATGGAAGAGAGTAGTCTCCCAACCTCGACACTGGTGATAACAAGACGGCCAGTAACCTATACTCGGTTTAATAGATTGAAGTTTGTTGCCGAGCATAGTAGACCAACGTTGTTGCCAACGGGTGTGAAGGTGGGAAGATATTGCAGCAAAATAGTCCGTAAATGGAATACCTCTATATGAAACTGGTAGGTCATATACTGCTGACCGTGCAGCAGTGTCTGCCTGTTCATTGCCCTGTACGTCAACATGACCAAGGACCCAACAAAAAACAATATCTTTATGCTTGGTAAAGATGCGGCGTAGCCAAAGTTGGATACGGAGGACTAAGGGGTGAGGTGTATCAAATTTCTGTATAGCCTGTAAAGCACTAAGGGAGTCTGAGACAACCACAAATGATGACACAGGCATAGATGCAATACAGATAAGTGCTGCAAGGATGGCATACAATTCAGCAGTAAAAATACTAGCCGAAGATAGTAAATGCCATTGTACGACGCTGTCCGGAAACACTGCTGCGAATCCTACGCCGTCAGAAGACTTAGAGCCATCTGTGTACACAGCAATGGCATGAGAATGAAAGTGGAAGTGGTCAAGAAAAAGAGAGCGGGAAGCGACCGTAGACAGTTGGGTTTTCGAGCAAGGGAGAGAGAGAAAAAACAGACTCAAACAGCTCGAACTTCCCAGGGGGGTAGGGAAAAGTGAGATGCTACATGAACATAGAAAGGTGGTAATTGAAGAGAAGACAAGAGCGAATGAAGGTGAAGAGAGAAGGGACAGAGTAAACAGGGGCGGCGAACAAATAAAGAATGTCTACTAATATCAGTGACCATTCTATAAATGGAAGGATTGCAAAGATCATGAGAGCGTACATAGTAGCGAAGGCAATGGGCATCACAGCGATCGGATAAGGATGGAACGTTCGCTTCTGCATAGAGGCTCTCGACAGGGGAAGAGCGAAAAGCACCAAGGCATAAACGTAATCCTTGCTGATGAATGGGGTTAAGGCTAGAGAGAGTAGCAGGAGATGCCGCTGAATAGATCTGGTCACCATAATCAAGTTTCGATAAAATGAGGGTGGAATGTAGGCGAAGGAGGGTTCAACGATCAGCTCCCCATGAAAGATGAGCAAGGGTTTTAAGAAGGTTCAGCCAGCTGTGACAAGTTACCTTCAGAGAGGTAATGTGAGGTTTCCAGGATAACCTACGGTCAAAGAGGAGGCCAAGAAACTTGACTGTATCACGTTCACGGATACAGGAGCCACAGAGGTACAAAGGATGATCGGAGATGACAGAGCGTCTAGTGAAAGTAATTTGGTGGGTTTTAGTGCTGGAAAATTTAAACCCATGTGTGGTGGCCCAATTGGAAACACGGTCGACCGCATGCTGGAGAGAAACTCTAATGAGGTGACAGTCAGCGCCTGCACAGGCAATAGCGAAGTCATCAACATAGAGTGATGACCAAATATGTGATGGAAGACTAGAGGCCAAATCATTAATAGCAAGGAGAAAAAGTGTTGTGCTCAGAACACATCCCTGGGGGACACCTTCAGCTTGGATAAAGTCCGGGTAGAGCACATTATTAACCCGAGCACGGAAATGCCTGTCAGTTAAAAAGTTCTTAAGGAAGGATGGTAGATTGCCTCGAAGGCCTAAGGAGTGGGCTTGGGCTAAAATATTATACCTCCAAGTTGTGTCATATGCCTTCTCAAGGTCAAAAAATATGGCAATAACTGAGTGGCTATTCACAAAGGCATTACGAACATACGTATCCAAGCGTAGTAAGGGGTCTATGGTAGAACGTCCCTTATGAAAGCCATATTGACGAGTGGAGAGAGAGTTGTGTGTCTCTAAATACCACACTAAACGTCTATTTACCAGGCGTTCCATCACTTTGCAAACTGCACTGGTAAGAGCAATGGGACGATAGTGGGAGGCTTCATGTCCCGTAGTGCCTGGTTTGCGGAAAGGGAGAACAATGGCAGATTTCCACAGCTGTGGAAGAACTCCTTGTGACCAAATAAGATTGTAAAGGCATAATAGGACTGCAAGGGCTGACTGATGTAAATGTTGTAGCATACGAATGTGAATGTCGTCGGGCCCAGCTGCCGATGATCGGCAAGCTGAGAGTGTTGCCTCCAGTTCTTGAAGTGTAAAAGGCACATTATACTGTTCTTCTCTGAGAGAAGAAAAGTCCAAGGGTGCTAACTCTCTGGCAGACTTTGAGGAAAGAAACGAGGGGCATAGATGGAGTCCCTGAGAAATACGGACCAGATGATTGCCAATTTCATTGGCAACATCTAGTGGGTTTGCTACATCAACACCGGCAACCCACAGGACAGGAGCCGGGTCAGGAGAATATTTACCACTCAGTTTTCGTACTTTTTTCCAGACTGCACTCATAGAGGAAGCAGAGGTGATGGTGGAGACATAATCTCACCAGCAAGTGCGTTTAGCGGCACGGATGACACGGCGAGCGATTACACGCTTCTGCTTAAAATCAAGAAGTCTCTCCGTGGTTCTATTGTACCGGTACCTGCCCCATGCAGCGCATTTCAAACGTACTGCACGAGCACAAGCAGGAGACCACCAAGGCACGCATTTCTGAGAATGCCTGCCCAAACTTTGGGGTATACAATTAGAAGCGGCAGTTAAAATGGAGACGAGAAGAGGTGTAAAAGCTCATCAATGGAGGACGAAGAAGGAACCTCTCTAAAAACAGGTGTGAGTAAAGGTTCCAATTTGCCTGATCAAACTGCCAGCGTGGGATGCGAAGAGGTGGTGAATATGAAGGGGAAGTAAGAATGATTGGGAAATGATCGCTGTCATGTAAGTCCGGGAGAACAGACCAAGTGAAGTCTAATGTGGCGGAGGAAGAGCAGACAGAGAGATTGATGCAAGAGAGAGTGTGAGTCCGAGGATCAAAATGGGTGTGAGTACCTGTATTTGAAACAGGGAGGGGGTGGGTGGCAAGAAAAGCCTCTAACTGAATGCCACAGGAATCACAGTGAGACCCCCCAGAGGAAATGATGGGCATTAAAATCGCCAAGTAACAGAATCGGTGGCGGTAATGACGAAACAAGAAAGGCAATATCCAGAATAGATAATGCCTGAGAAGGAGAGAGATATAAAGAACAGAGTGTATACCACCTATGCAAGTGGATACGGGCTGCTGTGTAATGTAGCAAAGTACGAACAAATAGCTGATGGTATGGAATATCATTGCGTAGAAGAAGGGCACTTTCATTAAAGGTCCCTTCAGGAAAAGGATCTGACAAATACAATAAATTATAGCCTGAGATGGGAGAGATAACAGCAGAGTGTAATTTTGGTTCCTGTAAGCAAACACCAACAGGGAAAAACTGGGAGAGTAACATCTGAAGCTCACCCTGATTACCCCTGAGGCCGCGTATATTTAACTGTAAATAGGCCACGATTAGCAATGATAAAGATACTTGAAATCCGCAGGTTAGAGGGGTTAGAGCTGTATAGTCCTTGTGGCTTGGCGCTTCTTTTTGATTATAATAATAATAGAGGGGTTAGAAAAGTCCACATGCAGAGGCAGCGGAAAACGTTCAAGCAGCGAAGGAACGGTGCACTGTGAAGAAAGGAGTTGCGCAGATGGAGGAGAGGAGAGAGAAGGAACAGAGGGTGGATCAGTGTCCATTGATGGTTTGGTCTCTGCAATATATTCAGAGATTGCTTCAAGTGTTTCGGAATTCAGAGACGTTGTATGAGAGACAATATTGGAGATGGTAGGGGGAGGATGAGTAAAGATTGGAATGGTAATGGACTGTACCAAGGTAGGGAGGGGGCGAAAGGGTGGAGGGAACTGGAGAAGAAGCATGGAAGGGGGCAGAAGAGGCAGAAACCTGGGAGGTGGCAGAAGAGGAAGAAACCTGGGAGGGAACAGGGAAGGTAGGTATAGTACGAGGAGGAGGGTGAACCTCTACACTTGTAACAGAGCCAGTGAGAGGGGAAGAACCCGGTACAGAGACAGGGAAGGTAAAATGAGGAGGTGGAAGTAGGGAAGGAGGGGTTAGAAGACCTTTTGTTGACTTCTGAGAAGTAGAGGGACGATTGGGAGGAGATGCCGTACGAGGTCTCGTCGATACTGAGGCTTGTGAGGGAGAACACGAAGAAGCGTGAACAGACTGAGGCGTTGAAGTAGGGACGTCTGAGCCTAGGACAGCAAAAGAATTAGATACAGGAGTGACTATGGGAGAGGTAACTACAGAGGTGGCTGCAGAAGATGGGACCCCAGAAGTGGGGGGACGTTTTGAAACACGGGAATAAGAAACACGAGGTAGTCTCCCTCGGAGGCGGAGATGAGAAACTGCCATGGCATAAGGGAGACCTTCTGCCTCTTTGAGGTAACGGATTTCCCGCTCATTTAAGTAGACTTGGCAACGGCGAGAGTACGAAGAGTGAGCCTCATGACAATTAAGGCAAGAGGGAGGTCGATTGCAAGACGTATTAGAATGGTCATCGGCACCACAGACTGGGCATTCGGCTATGGATCTGCAATATTTAGCTGGATGGCCAAATCGCCAGCAATTTCTACACTGCTGCGGTGTAGGGATCACCTTTCAAACTTGTAACCGATGTCCTGCCACATAAACTGAGGATGGGAGTTCACGGCTGTCAAAAGTTAAACGAGCCACATTGCTAGGGTATCGTCTCCGCCTGCGGGCAGGAAGAACATAAGTGTCTACCTTGAGGATTGGGAGATCTTGGAGTTCCAGCTGTTCAAGAATGTCATTGCCACATGTCTGGAAATTTTGTTGAACTATGGTATGGGGCAGAATGACGGTACCACTACAAGAATTGAGGGAATGATGTTTTTCAATAGTGACAGGAACAGTATCTATATGGGAAAGAAGAGAAAGATCATGAGCTTGGGTAGCATTCTGTACAGTGATGATGCGCGTACCGCTCTTAAGAGCATGAAAAGAAATAACTTTACCAACATGGCGTAGGAGTGCCTTGCCAATACTGTGGTCGGAAAGATAGGCGGTAGAGGAAGTCGGTCGTAAAGTGAAGAATTTAGTCCATTGTGCAGTCTGAAACTGAGCATGGAAAGGGAGTGCAGAACGTGTTGATCTTTTCTGAGAAGAATGAGAAAGTGGAGAAGTATCATCAGCAGGTAACTGTCGTTGGCGTTTAGGCGTGGGACCAGAATTGGTCCGACGCGGAATGGGCCGGCGATTCAAAAATTGCCGCACCGTAGAGGGAGAGGCCGGAAGCATAGTCAAAGGAGAGCGGAGGTCAGATAAATCAAAGGAGTCAGTCAAGACCTCAGTACCTGAAGCGGGTGAGGAAACAGCACCGGCAAGAGGTACAGAGGCACGAGGAGTGTCCGAAGAGTGGCCCAAAGACGAGGCGTGGTCAGAACGGGGTGCGATATCAAGAAGGGGCCCGGGGGAATCAGGTTCATGGACTAGGGCTGCCATGGTTAGGTTACTTCTTTCTTTTTGTTTTTAAGAAAAAAAAAAGAAAGAAGAAAAGAAAATAAAAAAAAAAGAATAAAAAAAAGGGGGGACTGGGGAGGGATAGTTCCTAGGAGGAATGAAAGGGCCAGAAATTTCCCTCCGCGCCCAAGAGGACCTCAGCACCGCAAGTAGCATAGATGCAGCATGGAACCCGTGCCATACCCTACCCATCATGCCAGTAAACTAGCAATCCAGGATAGCAACCTCACATCTGCCGAGCTACCTCGGTGGACAAAAGAGAGGGCAGCCGGATATCCGCCACAAAGCATACCTCCTTCAGCCACCACCCCCGGAATCCGAAAGGTGGCTTCCAGAGATACACCCATTGCCCGAAAGACACCCAAAGCCACTCTCCGGGATACAGGAGAGGGATCGGGACATCCCCAGGTGATCCAGATTCCACGGCAAACTACGCCACCGCCAAGAACCTCAACGGAATGGGATGGACCCTGGTACCCTTTCCCCTACCTAGGAACTAGCGCGCCTGTGGGAAAAGTCCCAAAGGCCAAAAAGAGGAAGGGCAAAAGGGAGGGGTGGGGAGGGGGAGGAGGAGAGGGAAAAGGGGAGGATGGGATAGGGAAGGGGGGATTGGGGGGTAATTAGGTTCAGTCTGAGGAAGGAGATCGACAGGTCTAATTCCTCAGACCAAGAGCCTCTTCACCACGCCAAGGAGCCCCCCTTGAAGAGGTCATCATTGAATATAAAAGTAACTTGCATAATCAGTCAAGAGAACTATTCAAAGGTTTCAGGAAACAGGTTATTGCTACCCATGATGAGTATAAAATGAAGATCCTGGTAAAAGCAAAGTTGATGAGTGAAGTAGAGATGATGCTTCATTATTAGTGCTTCATTATTATTTAGGCCTATTTACATACTTTAAACTTCCAGTGACAGACACAAGAGGTAAGATCCATCATCATAACCAAGCCTTAACAAGGTCTTACATCTCTTCAAAGTCATGTAATATTTTCTCATCAAGAACATTAGCAGTAGTTGTGGATATTGTAATCATATTTTTCTGGAAGCTAGTAACCCCTTCCAGCCAGAAACACATATTACACAGTAAGGGATACCTGTATTAGCTTTTATAAATGTACAAGCATCATATTTTGTTCATAAACAGTTTGTAAATTGTTTGTATAAATCTAGATTACAGGCATTTCTGATGTTATGAGTAAGCATTACTTTCTTTGACATTTACTCCCCATACCAGGTGCACAGTATGTTTGTACATTATAAAATTGAAGTACTATATGCATTTTTGATGCACTGTATTATGTATGTACCTGTGATATACTTGTAACTAGTGTTTAGTCTTCTTACTGCCACAGCACAGTTTGGGGCCAGACTTTTCTGCTGCTTGTTTGATCAACCAAGTTGTTACTGTTGGCAGCCCAATGGCCAATACATCCATCACAGTCTGGCTGATCTGGTTTTATGTGGAGTTTAATTACCTGAAATATACCTGGAGGGTGTTTCTGGGGTTAACACCCCTGTGGCCCAGTCTATGGCCAGGCCTTACAGTGGATCAGGGCCTGATCAACTAGGCTGTTACTGCTGGCTGCACACAAACTATATAAGCACCCAGCCATAACCTTTCAACTAATCTGATTTCCTTTAAAACAAGAAAAGAGAAAAAATACAGTAGTAAAAGGCAGAAGAGTATTACAACTCACAGTGTTGTTCACATGCAAGATGCACCAATGAGTCACTCGAACAATCAGACTTAAGAACAAACTGCAATGGTGTCGGGGCCCTTGCTGAGGCTTTTGGAGCAAGTCTGACTCTGGGACGTGGCACAGCTTCCACTACACGCCTCACTTCAGTGCTGAGTGAGGCAGCTGCTCCCAGCTGCTCACACACTAAATCACTCCACTGGCTTGTCCAACCCTCTCCACACACAGCCATCCATCGGTTCTGTCCACTCCTGTAAAATGATGATTTTTATCAAAATACATGGACCCTTTATGTCACTATTATCAGTGAATCAGCTGCAAAAGCACTTAACCATGTTAAGTACAGATGAGTCTACCTCTTCTGAATGACTTCAGTATTTAATGACTGAAGCATTTTACTGCCAGGATGGTATCCATTAACTTTTATTTGTGTGCGGGCAAATTTGTCAGTGCACAGAATTTGTAACAAATTAAAAAGAGGGATATAAAAAAGGCCTGGAAATTTTTTCTCAAATACTGGATTCAAGTAAATTCACAAACGCCCAAAAAATTATACTAACTTAAATATATGAATTTCTCATTCAAACTGCTGAAATGGTAAATAAACTAAGTAACTTCTCAACTACAGGATCAAACCTAGAGAGCACCATCCCAGACTCTCGTGCACAGCTAAGACATGGAAGTGTTGATGAATTGCCTTCTCCTTCAAGGAAAAACAGCCTTGGGTTTGTAAAGTTGTTTAGTACCTTGTCCTGAAACAACTTTCAAAGGGGGTGAAGGTCAGTTACCAGGATGAGGTCTGGACACAAGCAGGAATAGGCAGGCCTTCTTCAGGTACCATAGCCCTTGTGGCTTAGCTGCTTCTTTTTGATTATAATAATAATTCTTCAGGTACCACACTACTGTCAAGGCCTTTTCCTCAACAGCTACATAACTGTTTTTTCTCAAAGCCCAGCCTTTGGCCAGGCTTTTCTATTGACTGCCTATTCAACCAGGGTGTTTTTGTTTGTGGCCTGCTGGCTGATCTAGCACTTTGCTGGGGTAATGATCAAGCTTCCTTGTGTAAAATTCTACACTGTTCTAGCAATATTTTTGATATCTGCAGGTAGCAAGCTGCCTGCCAGGAGAATGGCATGTGACACACATGCAGGAGAATGAAACCAGTGCCTTTTCTATTTCAGTTAGTAACCTCCTGCTGGATTTTTTTTTTAAGGCTGCCAAGGATGTCCATATATGCTGCTTATGAGAGGCAATGCGATTGGAGATTTTTAAGCCATCTTAATTGTCTATTCTGAAACTCCAAGGGTTAAGACAACTACTCCAGAGCTTCTCTCTCTCTATTCTGGCATTCAGAACTTGTCAGTCAGGTTTTTTTCCTGAGAACAGTATCATTAAGTTAGTTGATCTAGGTGTTACAACTACATTTAAGTTTAACTTGAGCCCAACTTACGTTGGATAGTAATTGATCAAATCTGAATGAAATTATCACTATTGTCACTCTTACTGTTTCAAATATTAATTTTGTCTGATCGTATTATTTTTGTATATAGTAGTTCATTACTAAAACCTGCTTAGCAAACAGAACACTGGGACCCAGTCCCTAAACACATTATGTCCCTCTGCAATTATCTGACAGTTACTCATAGGGTGAAAAAAAAGGCATCAAATCAATCATTAGACAAATAGCTGATAAAGATAAATCAACAGTAAGAGAATTCTTATAAGGTTAAAACATCATGGACAACATGACTAACATATTTAGCATGTGGAAGGAACTTACATCAGCCACATATAATGGTGTAAAAGTACACTCCAGCCTGAACAATGCCTGCCAGTCAGTTAATCCTCACTCTGTATACCATGGACATGTAACTGAGTTGTCAATAAACTCTGGCTATATTACCAGTTTATCCTTAACCACACACCTGACTTCAAGTTGCCGTGTACTGTTGTCTATTCTAAGACAGTGCCACTCGTCAGAGCCATCCTGACACTGCCGCAGCCCATCACACAGGTGGAAAGTGGGCACACAGCCACCTACACCACATGGCGTTTCATCCAGTCCCGAGCATCCTGTAAAGACAAAAATCATTCACTGAGCAACCTTAGCAATGAAGAAAACACAATCACCATTATTCATTCAATTTCAATCCTTCCAGAAGTGTGCTGACATTGCAATCAGATTACTCTCTGACTTCAATATCTAAAACCTTCCTTCAGAGAGTAGGCACTGCCCTTTCCATTTCCAGGACTTGAGTCCTATAATAAACATTTTAACAAAGTTTTATACAAAATCTCAATGTATTTAATTATAATTTAGTGCTTTTTCATCCATTATTAACATAGTTTGACACAATACTCTATTCTGGCTGGCTGGCTGGCTGGCTGACTGACTGACTGTCTAGTTGGCTGGTTGGTTGGCTGGTTGGTTGGCTGGCTGGCTGACTGTCTGCCTAATTGGCTGGCTGGCTACCTGCCTGCCTGCATCCTATGCCCTGTCCTACCTTATCCTTCCATTTTTCCTAAGCATAAGCCTATGAAAGACAGTCTTACTCTCCTGTTGGGTGCCAGTGCCTCTGGATATTTCAAGCTGAAGTCTATGCTTGTTTATTATTCAGAATTCAGTGTGTTAAAACAACAAAAGGTATCCAGGGACAGGTTGAATGTTCTGGCTTCTTAGAACAAATTACAGTGGTTCCTCAATAATCGTCCATAATCCGTTCCTGGAAGTGGGACTATTATAGAAATGGACGATTTACGAATCAATTTTCCCCATAAGAAATAATGTAAATTCAATTAATCCGTTCCTGACACCCAGAAGTATTAAACTGTTTGGAAGGGGAATCCCCTTCCATCAACACCTCAGGTACCAATTGCTTTTCTGGGGTTACTTCTCTTCTCTGTTTCTTAATGCCACTAGGACCACCTTGAGAGTCACTGGAGTCCTGTCTCGCAAAAAAACTGTCCAGAGAGCTCTGTTTCTGGCATCTCTTTAAAACTTCCCTAAAATGGGCCAAGACTCTGTCACTGTACAAGTTGCCAATATGGCTTGCAACATCCTTCTCTGGGTGATGTTTCTCCATAAATCTTTCCATCCTACCCCACATTTCAAAAATCTCCTTAATTTCTGAAGAAGGCATCTTCCTCCATCTCTCTTCCTCCTCCTCTGCAACAAGATTCTGAGCTGCGATCTGTTGCTCTTCCTGCTGAAGCTCTTGCAGCTCCTCAGTGGTTAGCTCTTCGTTATGGTCCTCCACCAACTCTTCCACATCCTCCAAACTCACATCCAACCCCATGGAACTCCCCAGTGCCACAATGGATTTAACAACTGACATAGGTTCATCAGGGTCAGCCCCAAACCCTTCAAAATCCCTCTTGTGGAGACAATCTGGCCACAATTTTCTCCAAGCAGAGTTCAAAGTCCTGGTAGTCACTCCCCCCCAAGCCTTACCTATAAGGCTTACGCAATGGAGAATACTGAAGTGTTCTTTCCAAAAATCTCGTAGGGCCAAGTGAGTGTCTGAGGTCACATTCAAGCACCTTTCAAACATTGCTTTGGTGTAGAGTTTTTTAAAGTTTACAATGACCTGCTGGTCCATGGGCTGGAGGAGAGGAGTGGTATTCGGGGGCAAGAACTTTACTGTGATGAACCCAAACTCCTTCAGAATTAGGTCATCCAAGTTTGGAGGATGAGCAAGTGCATTGTCCATTACTAGGAGGCACTTGAGATCCAATTTCTTTTCCAGGAGGTAATTCTTCACACTAGGGCCAAACGCTTCATTGAACCACTCGACGAAAATGTCCCTTGTGACCCATGCCTTACTATTAGATCTCCAAAACACACACAATTTACTCTTCATAACATTGTTTTTCTTGAACACTCTGGGATTTTCAGAATGGTACACTAGTAACGGCTTCACTTTGAAATCCCCACTAGCATAAGCACAGAACATTAGCGTCAGCCTGTCTTTCATAGGCTTGTGTCCTGGCAGCGCCTTTTCTTCCTGAGTAATGTAGGTCCTCTTTGGAATTTTCTTCCAAGAGGCCTGTTTCATCACAATTGAACACTTGTTCAGGTTTCAGTCCTTCACTGTTTAAGTACTCCTTGAATTCATGCACATATTTTTCAGCCGCCTTGTGGTCCAAACTGGCAGCCTCACCATGCCTTACCACACTGTGTATGCCAGTATGCTTCTTAAATCTCTCAAACTAGCCTTTGCTGGCCTTAAATTCACTCACATCATCACTAGTTGCAGGCAATTTCTTTACCAAATCGTCATGCAACTGCCTAGCCTTTTCACAAATAAGCGACGTGATAAGACTATCTCCTGCTAATTGTTTCTCATTTATCCACACCAATAATAACTTCTCAACATCTTCGAGTACTGGTGATCTCATTTTTGTCAGCATATTTACCCCCTTTGCAACAATAGCATCCTTGATTTCCTTTTTCTTGGCTATGATGGAAGATATGGTTGTACGGGATTTGTTATACATCCTGGCCAGTTCACCCACACATACGCCACTATCATATTGTTCAATGATGTTTTTCTTAAATTCAATCGTATTTCTCACCTTCTTTACCAAAGGCTTGGCACCAGGAGCTTTCTTTGGAGCCATGGTAGCTTATTTAGCACTTGCAACACTAAAATGAATGGAATATTATGAAATATTTCGTATGAACATGTGAGGGGACCATCGCTCACTGGTAAACAATGGCACACTGGCTGGAAAGGGAGGCGTAGGCGGCTCAGAGCCGTGAGTACGCGTCCAGGACGAAAGACGATTAGCGAGTTAACGGACCATTTGTGAGCCAATATTTTGACGAAAAAACAGGACTATTTCCAAAATGGACGACTTTCAGGCCAGACGATTATTGAGGGACCACTGTACTATAAAACCACATATTTTGGGGTTTGAGTTACAAAAGTTTTGAGGTACAATACGTCTTCTGAAGTTGATTAATATCTTGTGTCGAAGGATTACCTTAATATGAAATTCTGTTCTGCAATACATGAGTTCAGGCCTCTATCCAGACAGAGATGGAGGAGTGTTGTGCTGAGAACCATTTTTTTATAACTGTAGAATATTTTGCACAAGTATGATAAACATTTTTATCTGTGGGTTGCTAGGGTACAAAACTGTGGGAGACAATATAAGGAATTAAGACTATGATTTTGTCAATTTACTTTTTTCTCTATCCAAATATTACTCTCTATAACTCACCACAGTTCTTTTCATCTTCTCCAGAATGACAGTCTGGTTTGCCATCACAAGTCCTGGCCAGGGGAATGCACCAACCCTCAGGACATCTGAAAGCATCACCTGGGCAGGAGTCACTGCAGTTAACCTCATCAGAGTGGTCACTGCAGTCAGGCTGACCATCACATTGCAAGGAGATGGGAATGCAAGGGGATGGGGCTAAGCCCCCACATCTAAATTCATCTGAACGGCACTGCCAAGAATCTATAAGAGGATGAAGGACACAATGTGAAAATAATTTTCAATAATACAGTACAGTACACAATAAATAGTACATGAAAATAATGCAAATTAAAATATTTCATATTTCAGGCTAAATGAGTAAAACAAAAGAATCAACAGGTTTTACTCACCGCAGTTCAGCTCATCATCACCATCACGACAGTTGGTGACACCATCACACACATACTGGCGCTCAATGCATTCACCATCCAGACACTAAATAAACCAACAAATAATCTAAAGTCAGATTTTATTTCCAAAATTACAGGAAGCTGATTCAATTCTGGGATAACACATTTCTGTACCTTTAAAGGAAAGCAACTTCTTTTTATATAGGTTAATTTTTTTTATTGTCTTGAATGTAGCTTAGACTTCAAAATAGAGTGTATATACACAGCTGTATCAGTCACCCTTGGTATATACACAGCTGTATCAGTCACACCTGGTATACACATAAATGTGTATACCAGGTGTGACTGATACACACAGTTGCACTAGACATACACACAGCTGAGTGGGTCAGTCACATTAGGTATACACAGCTGTGTAGGTCAGTCACCCTAGGTATACAAACAGCTACAAAAGTCAGTCACACTAAGTATACACACTGCTGTGTGAGTCAGTCACACTAGGCACTGCATGTGCACATTTATAGACTCTTGACACAGTAAACAGACTCAATGATTTCTTCTCCACTATAGGACAAAACCTTGCCAATAAAATCCCAAGCTCAGATACCCCACCAAATGACTACCTCACTGGCAACTACCCGAACACACTGTTCCTAGCTCTGACTAACCCATACGAAGTCTCCCTTATTATCAACGCACTAAAAAACAAGGCAGGAGATTTAAATACCTTACCACCCTTTATATACAAAAAAGTGTCACAAGTGCTATCACCAATCATTGCAACACTCTTTAACAAATCCATTGAATCCTCCACCTTCCCTACAGTTCTCAAAATAGCAAGGGTCACCCCGATCCATAAAGGAGGAGACCAAACAGAGTTGAATAACTATAGGCCAATATCCAACTTACACCCTCTCTCAAAAATCTTTGAAAAATTAATTCATAAATGAATCTACTCCTACCTCATCTCCCAAAACATACTCAACCCCTGCCAATTTAGATTCAGGCCTAATAAAAATACTAATGATGCTATTATACACATGCTAGAACATATATACACTGCAATAGAGAAAAAAGAAGTCCCACTGGGGATCTTCATTGACTTGCGTAAAGCTTTTGATACAGTTGACCATGACTTGCTCCACATAAAATTGTCACACTATGGTATAAGAGGGCACTCCCTCAACTACCTCAAGTCATACCTCAGCAACAGAAGCCAATATGTGTACGCAAATGGGGCAAACTCTTCCGCACAACCAATTACAGTTGGTGTCCCACAGGGAAGTGTCCTTGGCCCTCTTCTCTTTCTCCTATACATAAATGACCTACCAAATGCTTCGCAATTACTCAAACCCACACTATTTGCAGATGACACTACATACGTCCTCTCTCACCCGAGCCCAGTCACGCTAGCCAATACTGTAAATACCGAATTACAGAAAATATCTACCTGGATGAGGACTAACAAACTTACACTAAACATTGACAAAACCTACTTCATTCAGTTTGGTAACAGAGCTACAGATGTCCCTCTTAACATAATGATAAACAGATCACCTATCACAAAGCTAACAGAGGGAAAATTCTTAGGAATCCACCTTGATAATAGACTCAAATTTCATAAACATATACAACAAATTTCTAAGAAAATTTCCAAGACCATAGGTATACTATCGAAGATATGGTACTATGTTCCACAGTCAGCCCTCCTGGCCCTATATCACTCTCTTATTTACCCCTATCTCACCTATGGAATTTGTGCATGGGGCTCAACAATAATTAACCATCTCAGACCACTAATTACCCAACAAAAGGCTGCAGTCAGAATGATAACAAATTCCCACTACAGGCAGCACACTCCACCAATATTCAAAACACTAAACCTACTCACCATACAAAACATCCATACTTATTACTGCACCTATTACATACATAGAACACTTAACTCTGATATTAACCCTCCCCTCAAACATCTTGCCAACCTCAACAGAACACATGACCATAACACAAGGCACAGATCACTCTTTGATGTTCCTCATGTCCATCTCACGCTATGCAAAAACTCAATGCACATAAAAGGCCCTAAAATCTGGAATTCTACCTGTAAATATAAAAGAAACACTACCTGTTTATAAATTCAAGTCTCTTCTCAAAGATCACTTACTCACTCAAAACCAAATAAATACTGAATAACTGAACCTTATAAATTGTATATCTTAAATGTTTCTCACAATTATATCACATAAATGTTAAACCAAAGACCCAATCTAACTTTGTTATTTTTTAAATACACTACCTAACAGAATACTCCATTCGACTGAATGTACAGCAATGCATGCAACCATATGACCTGTCTGTGTCATACTCATTTGTGCTTTATTGTTATCTGTTTACAATAATGTTTTATCACTGATTACATCATTGCTTAGTTAATCTTAAGTTAATTTTAAGCCAGCCCGTAATGCTATGCATACAAGTGGCTTTGGCATGCTGCTCTTACCTGTATTTTTTTGTACCTCTGTATGTATGCTCATATTACTAAATAAATAAATAAATAAATAAATAAAGTAGTTGTTCTTGATACACAAATAACCCGTACATAGAAGAGAGGAGCTTACGACGACGTTTCGGTCCGACTTGGACCATATAAAATCAAAGTCAGTGTGACTTTGTATATGGTCCAAGTCGGACCGAAACGTCGTCGTAAGCTCCTCTCTTCTATGTGCGGGTTATCTGTGTATTGTTCCAGTCACGTATTGTGCTTTTTTTGTTATTAGTTGTTCTTGAGGTTGCACAGGTTGTAATGCTGTATGTGTAGGTTCTTACAGTTTTAGTTTTCAACAGATACTAGAGTCTGATTATAGGAATGACTTAGGCCTTCCTAAAAGCAGCAACAAACTAAAATTGGCTACTGTACATTACAGGTCTCTTCATGGCAATAACAGAAATTTCTGTTAGCTATGACAATCCATCATCAAAACACTAATTTAATTTCCTGGATAATTTCTTTCTTCATCATTGATCTCTTGATCTAATTAGATGTAAATTTACATCAAGGAGCCTGGTAACACTCAAAATATATTTTCTTTGTTTTATATTCAATCTTTGTACTTAGCACTAGACAACAGAGATGCCTTGAAAAATTAAAATACAGTCCCATAAATAGTAAGTTATTATCCCTTAAAGAAATCAATCAATGAAGTTCACTGCTGTTGCCTCTCTTAAATGCAACAGACAATTACACTACATTTGTTTCTCTCTGCTTACATTCAAAATTCAGGTCTGGAAACCTCAAGTTCTGAATTTGAATCTTGCAAGTACACTTAAATTTAAATTCTAAATGAGAAAGTTACATTCACAGTAAAATTTACAAAATAAATTACAGTGGGCTATCAAATTCCTACACTAACAACAAATTTCAAGTGACATATTGCATTAACTTCAGAGACTATTGGTACATACCTGGAAATTACCAAAACAGTTGTTTTCTCTACAATCATGTTCATCTGAGAGGTCAGAGCAGTCAGGCACAGAGTTGCAGTGGGCACTACGTGGGATGCAACGTCCCAGCGAGCTAGTGCCATTAACGCACCCCAACTGGTCTGTACCACCATGAAAATTTAATTAACAATCTGATATATTAATCTCACTAGATGACATAATGCTTGCACTAGAACCTTAGAGAAAAATTAAAAATAAAAATTTAAATGTAACATACACCTGAGGAAATTTTAAGTACAGCCTCTCCTCACTTAGCGACATACTCGTTGACCGATGACTTGGACATATGACAGGCTCTCTGACCAGTATGCATATTTAAATAATGTAAATTAAAGCTGACTTCCTCTACTCTGTTTATTACAATATACAGTGTACAGTACATTACTGTATAAACATTTAGGAATGAAACTCCTTTGTTAAGTGAGGACAGGCTGTATAGTATAGTTTTGCCCAGTATGCTTTTAGTTCATTGTATGTCCAGTGCAGTAATACTGAATTTAAGATTAGTATTTGACCATCATTTGAAATAACTGTTTCAAACATTATAGCAAATTGTTTTAATGAAACTTCCAACAAATTATTTTTGCAAAAAAATCCCAGTAATGCTCTGCATAAGCAGGGCTTTCTATAAACTATGGCAATAATATCACCTATTACTTCCAACTGTAAATTATACCTTGTGGAAATAAAGTTTATCATTATCATTTATTGGATGCTGTACTAAATTTTCAACAGCATGATACAATGTTTGTACAGAGGTGAATGACATTTAGGTGTACATTCAGATTAATATGCCTCCATAAATACAAGATAGTCTGGTGGCAGAAGGTACAGTGCAGGTACCGTAATTGCAAATTTGTTCTTCAGATATAGTGGGGTCCATCTGAACAACTACTCAAAATACACTGCCCTGATTGAACCCTGTCCTCTATCCCAGAATATGTAAATCAACAGAACTCAGATACCCTGAAACTGCACTTACCTTCATTACACAGCAGCTTCGCTGGTGGAACTGATGATACTGTTGTGGTTAGAAGATCTTTATTGAATTTTTGGATGTGAGTCTGGTTTGAGGGTGTACCACTGTCAGTATCATTGACTGGGATCAACCCTGCATCCTCAGATTTTCCTTCAGTTAACTCACCACTATATGACAACACGCCAGATAAGGTAGAAGTTGTAATAGTCGAGCCTAATAAGGGTGTTGTAGTGGTTGTTGACAATGATGCTGCAGATGAATCTCCTGAAACACTGGTGGTATTGCCTAACATGGAGCCAAGGTCAGAACTGGCATTGAAAATAATACCAAAATCAATACCTAAGAGTGACGGATCAGGCTCAGCAACTTTGCTTTCTTCACCCGAAATATTCACCACAGAATTTATTATGACAGTTTGTGAAGTGCGGTTAACACTCACTTTTGGAGGCCTGTCAGTAACCTTTGGGTATTCTGTGAAGATGGGTGGGACGGGTGTGGTGGTAGATGTAGTTGTTGTCCGTACAGGAGGTGGTGTCTTGTTGGCAACAACTGGATTACCATCAAATATTATCGCATCCACTGTTACCACTTCTTTATGAAGGTTATCTTGCACCTCTCTAGGAGTAACATTTTCAATCTCATCAGAATTATTAGCTGTTACTATAACTAATTTTTTCACAGATGTTTCTATGGTACTGTTCTTTGTTTCATTATTGAATAAAATAGCAGTGTTTATTGGATCTACACTTGAATTTTCATTATGACTACTGCCATCAGAAGTTGTTGCAGTGCTTGTGGTGCTGTGAGTATCTGTTGTTCCATTATGGACTGGGGACCCTGTGCTTACTTCAGTTGTACTCATGATTGTATTCTGTGAAGTATTCAGTGTAATATTTGCTTCTGAAGACTGGTTAAAGAGTTCTTCAGACATGGCTATGTCCTGGAGACGCACATCCCCAGGGGAGTCTCCTGGCATGAGTGCCGAGAGATCCTGTACAATGAATGTTTTGTTAGAACGAGCATATTTAAAAGCAGCAATGTCTTCCAGGCGTGTTCCAGGAGATACATATATATCTGGAGATACATCACTCTTATTGGCGTCATGTTTTTCAGGGCTCTGTGTAACTTCCAGATCACTTGTAAGTGTTCCATTTTCTATTCTAGTAACATTGGTGGGGCCCTCAACTATCGGAGGCTGAACAAAGACCTCTTGACTAGTTTCTGCTTCACTTGCAGTGCTAGCATTGGTGTGACCCTCAGTAGAAGTTTCCAAGGTGGATGCATTTGTAGTCACTTCAGTAGTAGTTGTTTGTGTAATACTGACAGTGGCAGGTTCCCCACTCTCAGTTCTGTCTTCATATTTAGGTGAAGACAAGTAAACCTCTCCTTCCTCTGCAAAAGTAACATTCTTATCTTTACTTATATCCCCAGTTTGTGTGTGCCCAAACTCACCACCCTGCTGTCCAACATGGACTGTATCATTAACCTGCATTGTCACATTAGTGGAAGCATCCACTCCAACAGATGTTGAAGATTTATTTGTCTCTATACTAACACCTTCTTTCACAGGAGCAATGGTTGTGTCTGTAACATTACTAGCAGCATCAGTAACATTGGTTGCAGCCTTCACTTCTTCAGTTGCAGTAAGGACACCAGTAGCATTTCCAGTATGACTTTCTCCTTCAGTTGTAACATTTGTGAGACTTTCTGTAGACATAGTTCCTTCAGTGGTAGTACTGGTAGAATTAACATCAGCTTTAAAACCTTCCTCAGGTTTAACTTTGGTATCATCTCCTGGCTCTATGGAGGTTGCACTTGTCTCCTTTGCTTCATCATCGGTGAGCTTTGGAGGTTCTTCAACTTCCATTTCTGTAGTCTCTGACTTGATGCTAACAAAGGTAGCATTGCCCACCTGATTGAAGACTTTGTTAAAGACTTCCTTGATGGTGATTTCTGTTGTAGTTGATGTCGATGTTGTTGTGGATTGACCTGCAAGACAAACCGGTGAATTTAGCAGATTATCTTAAGAGATGTCAGTCTTGCTGAGAATGGACAAATTACAACAATATATTATATTCTTTTATATATTATCCATTATCATAATATTTTTTCTTTTTTTCAACAAGTCGGCCATCTCCCACCGAGGCAGGATGACCCAAAAAGAAAGAAAATCCCCAAAAAGAAAATACTTTCATCATCATTCAACACTTTCACCTCACTCACACATAATCACTGTTTTTGCAGAGGTGCCCAGAATACAACAGTTTAGAAGTATATACGTATAAAAATACACAACATATCCCTCCAAACTGTCAATATCTCAAACCCCTCATTTAGAGTGCAGGCATTGTACTTCCCATTTCCAGGACTCAAGTCTGGTTATATAAAATAACCAGTTTCCCTGAATCCCTTCATTAAATATTACTCTGCTCACACTCCAACAGCTCGTCAGGTCCCAAATACCATTTGTCTCCATTCACTCCTATCTAGCACACTCACGCACGCTTGCTGGAAGTCCACACCCCTCATCCACAAAACCTCCTTTACCCCCTCCCTCCAACCTTTTCGAGGACGACCCCTACCCCGCCTACCTTCCCCTACAGATTTATACGCTCTCCATGTCATTCTACTTTGATCCATTTTCTCTAAATGACCAAACCACCTCAACAACCCCTCTTCAGCCCTTTGACTAATACTTTTATTAACTCCACACCTTCTCCTAATTTCCACACTCCGAATTTTCTGCATAATATTTACACCACACATTGCCCTTAGACAGGACATCTCCACTGCCTCCAACCACCTCCTCGCTGCAGCATTTACAACCCAAGCTTCACACTCATATAAGAGCGTTGGTACTACAGTGGACCCCCGCCTTATGATCAGCTCCCAACTCGACCAATTATGTAAGTGTATTTTTGTAAGTGCTTTTGTACATGTATTTTTGGGGGTCTGAAATGGACTAATCTAATTCACAACATTCCTTATGGGAACAAATTCAGTCGGTAACGGCACCCGAACAGACTTCTGGAATGAAATAATATCGTAAGGCGGGGGTCCACTGTACTATACTTTCATACATTCCCTTCTTTGGCTCCATAGATAACATTTTTTGTCTCCACATATACCTCAATGCACCACTCACCTTTTTTCTCTCATCAATTCTATGATTAACCTCATCCTTCATAACTCCATCCGCCGACACGTCAACTCCCAAATATCTGAAAACATTCACTTCTTCCATACTCCTCCTCCCCAATTTGATATCCAATTTTTCTTTATCTAAATCATTTGATACTCTCATCACCTTACTCTTTTCTATGTTCACTCTCAACTTTCTACCTTTACACACACTCCCAAATTTGTCCACTAACCTTTGCAATTTTTCTTTAGAATCTCCCATAAGCATAGTATCATCAGCAAAAAGTAACTGTGTCACTTCCCATTTTGTATTTAATTCCCCATAATTTAATCCCACCCCTCTCCCGTACACCCTAGCATTTACTTCTTTTACAACCCCATCTATAAATATATTAAACAACCATGGTGACATTACACATCCCTGTCTAAGACCTACTTTTACTGGGAAATAGTCTCCCTTTCTTCTACACACCCTAACCTGAGCCTCACTATCCTCATAAAAACTCTTTACATCATTTAGTAACTTACCACCTATTCCATATACTTGCAACATCTGCCACATTGCTTCCCTATCCACTCTATCATATGCCTTTTCTAAATCCATAAATGTAATAAAATCTTCCCTACCTTTATCTAAATACTGTTCACATATATGCTTCAATGTAAACACTTGATCTGCACATCCCCTATCCACTCTAAAACCTCCTTGCTCATCTGCAATTCTATATTCTGTCTTACCTCTAATTCTTTCAATAATAACCCTACTGTACACTTTTCCTGGTATACTCAGTAAACTTATTCCTCTATAATTTTTACAATCTCTTTTGTCCCCCTTCCCTTTATATAAAGGGACTATACACACTCTCCACCAATCCCTAGGTACCTTCCCCTCTTTCATACATTTATTAAACAAAAATACCAACCATTCCAACACTATGTCTCCCCCCTGCTTTTAACATTTCTGTCATGATCCCGTCATAATTATGTTTACAAAATAATAATTAAATTAAATTTTGTGATTATTTCCTTGCTACCAAGACTATTCAGTGCCGATAAGGCAACTATCACAAATGATTACACAGTTGCCTGTATATAATATTCTATCTCAAGACTCGACAATCTGTGAGTGTGTACAGCTACAAAATATTTAGCAAACAGAAGTTATTCGAAGTGGCATCTAATAATATCAAAATCTGAATTATATCTATGAAGCTGCATGTGCTGAAGTCTGTTAGAAAGATTTAGTATCAAAACACATTAGTCTGGTGACAAAATATTTAAATAACTGCCTAGGAAGTGTGAGATTAGTATAGAAATTGTTAAGACATAAATACACCTTACTTCTCTACATGGAGATGCAAAAATATTGTCAAAAATATGTAATGAATAACTTTGTAATTCATTACAGCATAGTACTGTATTACCTTTATTAATATTATTATTATTATGGGTCTGGCACTTAGTTTTGATTGTATTAAGCTTAAACTGATTTTTTTGCTCTTTACTACCTTATGAAACTACAAACTCCAAGGAGCTAAAGGTGTATGCAACTACTGACTGTGTAACAAGTGAGGTGGTTATTGAATGGAAGGAGAAATTCAAAACTCGCATTTTGGATAAAACCTTATGACAATGTTTTGGTCTGTCCTGGACCATTGTCAAGTCACAATGAGGCAAGAAAAATAGAAAAAGACAGAATATACATATGGGAGGGGGCAGGGGAAGAAGGGAGTGGTGGCAGAGACAGTTGTAAAATTAACAGCAGTGATAGTGGTAGTAGTTAAGGTAGTACAAGTGGTTAGTGGTAATAATGAAGTAGTAGTGGTAGAAGTAATAGTATAGAGGGTAATAATGAAAGAATTAGTAGTAATAGTAGCAGAAGCAGTAATACATGAAAGCAAATGAACAGAGCAGTAATGTAGAAGATATACTGCCCACACTGGGCAGGTCTAGTGATAATGTAAAGAGAGAATTTCATTTCAAGGCAGTGGAGATTGAAGAATCTCAGTCACCACTGTTCACAAGAGGGCAGAAAAGAACTGCAGTAGGCCTACTAGCCAAAGACAGCAAGAAAAGGAAGAAAGACAGGAAAGTCAAAAGAAAGAAGTGGTAGTGGTCACAAGTGTTCTGGAGACTAAAGTATTTCATAATGTACTGAGAAAGGCAGGCATCTACAGAAGAAAAGCCAGGACTAAGATTCATGTTAGGAAAGTTGTGCACAAGAGCCGCTTCAACAAGACGGCATGTTTGAAGGCTAAAGAGTAGATAATTTTAGCAGAAGACCAGTTAATAGGATGCCTGTGATCTTTGACATGACAAAAAAAAAAGAAAAAAAAAATTGGTGTCAAGCAAGTGCTGTTAAGCGTCACACTCATAATGGTACTTACATGAGATGGGAGAGAGAATTCTCCGAGAAATATAGTAATGCATCATGGCAGGTGTCATATATGCTGGGAATTATGATTTGTATATCATGTTTTACAGTACACACTGGGAAGTATGATTTCTGTGTATCAAGTGTCCAACATGCTGGAAAATGAGGTCTCTGTGTGTGAGATTTTGTATGTATTGGAAAGTATGATTAATGCATGTGTTGAATCTCAGACATGCTGTAAAGTACAATGTGCCAGGTGTTGTGCCATATATAGAGATGTATGAATTGTGCACATGTGTATACCATCTGCTGTACATGCTGGGACTTGTATGTATGAAAATCAGGTATGAGGAATGATTTGTGTCAGGTATTGTACATGCTGGAGAGTAAAATATGTACACAAATAAGCTGCACATAGGAGAGAGAAGCTTACGATGACATTTTGGTCTGACTTGGACCATTTACAAGCCACACAAATATGTAAGTTTTTGTGTCAGGCACTGTAAATGTTGGTATAATTAGAATTCTGTACAAAGTTTCAGGGACAGACAGCCCATGGCTTGTTAAGATGTATAAGGTTATCAAGGTAATGTGCATGATGGGAGTTAAGGTGTGGGTATTAGATGTTACATATACTTAACCAGTACAATAACTGGTGTCACTCTTGCTCAGAACTAAGGGTTTGTCATACATGTGCAGGCTAAGAACTTTATTAGACTTCAAGAATTCATTAGCAACCTGTAAACAGCAAATAAACTGTTATAATGGGATCCTTTTCCTATCTTTTATTCTTAAAATGAATGATGGTGAATGTGATTCCTTCTTTGGGTCACCTCTCCTTAGTGGAAAATGACAGTGCTAAAAATTATTAAAAATCCATTGAATGTAATGAGGCAGTACAGTATATACCTGCTGCTTCAGGAAATTACTTCATACAGCAAAGCGTATGTATATAATCAGAAAATTATTCTGATTATATTATTAATCAGGTCTGCTGTCTTGAGCCATGTAGGAATATAGTACTGTCATTATATTTAGTATTGTCATTATAAGAATCTAGAAAATAAGATACTAAGATTTATTTTAGGCCTGTGAAAATTACATTACATATTTGTTTCTACTTATTATATTTTTCTGCTAATATAAACAGAAAACATTATACATCCTCTATTTTGTTTTCATTTGTATCTCACTTATTCAACAGTAAATTTTCTCATCCTCTGAATAATAAATATACATACAGTAGGGCCCCACTTATATGGCAGGTTAGGTTCCAGGCTACTGCCTTAAAGTGAACGCCATTTTTTCCACTTATAAATGCATATAAATGCCAGACAACAAGTTTACAGTAACTTATATAAAGTTAGCAATAGAACTAGGCATTACAAAAACAATAAAAAAGTAAAATACACATATAGTACACTCATTACTTACCTTAAAATATTTGTAGTCTTAACCCTTTGACTGTTTTGGT